CACACACACACACACACACACACACACACACACACACACACACACACACACAAGAAAAAAAAAAACCCGGTGGGGAGAAGAAGGCATAACAATTACAATTCCTTGAAGTTCGTATAACAAGCAAACAGAAAGGACATTGCTGAGAGGGAGGGGGGAGAGGGAGGCGGGAGGGAGGTTTCAGTAATGGGCCACAATAATCAACCACATCGTATATTGACAAAATAAAATTTAAAAAAATAAATAAATAAAATAGATTTTATCGATTAACCCTAAAGCTGGTACTTGGAAAAAGCCAATAAATAGACAAATCTTCATCAAATCCAATTATTTTTTAAAGACACGTCAGGAATGCAAAAAGCAAAATAACTTCAGGTGTGGAGTGATGTTTAGAATGACAGAGAATTTTATCCCTCTTTTTTGTGGCATCTTGGAGGTGATCAGCTACTTGGAGATGAAGCTGGACATCTTCCCAGGCACTGGCTGCCAGAAACTCATTGAAGTGGGCTGTGAGCACAAGTGTGCCTTCTTTGAGAAGTGTATGGCCACAGAAGCTGCTGCGGACACTCTGGATGAAGAATGGCAGGAGCGTGTGGTCCAATCTGTGGGAGCAATGACAAACGAGATTTCCCCATGAAGTAGGGTGTCCTGACCATGGTTGTGTCCACCTGCTACTGAGCGAGGGGCGTTCCTGTCACAGGCCAAGGAGAGCTGCAGAAACAAGGTGCAGCTCCACTGGTGCTGCACTGCGGATCCAATCTGAGTGCTCTCGATGTGGTTATTGCCGAAAAAAGGGGAGAAGAGTGTTCCCGGACTGACAGAGCCTACTGTGCTTTGTCACCTAGCGCCCAAAAGAGCTAGCAGAACCTGCAAACTTTCCAGTCTCTCTGAAGGAAATGACATCTGCCAGTATCTTGTGAGAAATGTCTACACAAAGCAGGTGGGACACCTAGGACCACAGCAGCCAAGATCCAGCGTCGTGTTACCCCATGCGGCCACAGCACAAAGGCTGCTGTGTCACTCTGAAGAAACAGCACAGTTAGACAGACAAGCAAGAGGCCAAAGAATGTGCTAAACTTTTGCCAAGAAAGTGAAGGAGGCCAAAGAAAAATGCCAGGGACAGATTGCCAAGAGAAGGAGGTGGTCTTCTCTGAGAGCTTCTATTTCAAAGTCTGAGTCCAGTCAAAGATAAGATTTTCTAAGAGCAACATAAATAAGACAAGACCTCAAAAAAAAGAGATTATGACTAAATTTATGCCAATATATTTGAAAATCTAAATGAAGTGGATGCTTTTATATAGGAAAATATGATACAAAATTTTTTTTAAAGAGACATTAAAAAAAAGATTAACTAGAAATTGAAAAGGTAGTCAAAATGACAGCCTTCATAAACACCCAAGGTCCAATATTTTCATTTATAAGATATATCAAGCTATCGAGGAATATATTCCTATGTTATATAAACTTTCCAGGGACAGAAAGAGGTAGACAACCTCCCCAGTCATTCCATAAGGCTAATCAATACCAATAAGAAAAAGAGAAAAAAGCAGAGAGTTATAAATATGAAAATATGTGGACATCACTGTCATTATTTGTAGATACCAGGCTAATCCAAGTAGAAAATCCAAGCAAATCAACTAAAAACCCTTTATAACAATTCACAGGATCAGTAAGATGGAAGACTCACAAAGAAGAATAATCAGTTTCCTCTACTCGTAATAGCTAGTTAGTAAATATAATAGACAAGATCTTATGCTATCACTTTTTCTAGCCAATATTATACTGTAAGTTTTATTCAATGCAATAAGAAAATAAATCAAAGGATAAGAATTGGAAAGAAACAAAATTAAATGCCAAAAAAAATTGACTGCCTGTGTAGAATATACAAGAGAAACTATAGCAACTAGGCACGCTGCCATTGCTGCCCTGGGCCCCACCAGGGTCGTGAGGCATGGAGCCAGGGGAAGCCGAACCCAGCTGCAACCAGGTAAAGAGCACACCAGAAACACCATTTCCACGTGGGTAGTGCACCACAGCCACCGCAACTGCCATGGCTGCCACAAAAGCAGCTAATCTCTATAGCAGCAGTCACAGCCAGTGTGCAAATGACATGCCAGACTCTCAACTGCATTGACACAAGGAGAGGCACCACCAATGGAGAGCAAAAAAGAAGAGGTCCTCTCTCTCCTAAAAGCACACTCCAGAGTAATAGAAGCATCTAATTTCTGATCACAGGGGAGGACTTGATCACTCCTGTCTCAGTACTGGACAGATCATCTAGGCAACAAACCAACAGAGGAACAGTTAACCTATCAGATGGGAGAACAGATCTATGGTTATTAGAGGGGGGAGGAGGAGGGGAAAGTGGGAGGGGGTGGGAAAGGGGGAGAGGGAGGGGAGGGAGATGGATAAGGGGCATAAAGAATAAGTATGATTTGTAACAATGAATATGCTAATAAAAAATTTTAAAAAGAGAAACTACAGATAAATGGTTAAAATAAGAAAGTTCATCAGATCTTCTGTATATGGAATCACTCATTAGTTGCAAACGTATAGAACTTTTAAACTGTACCATTTTTTTGTCTTTTTTTCGTGACCGGCAATGGATCGCAACCCTCAGCGTTGCGCCCGTACCGGACCAGGACCGGCAACGGGATCGCAACCCTCGGTGTTGCGCCCGCACCTCGCTCAGCCAGTGAGCGGCTGGTCTGTATGTGGGATCCGAACCCTCGGCGGGAGCGCCACCGCGCTCCCAAGCAGCGCACTGTAGCAGTGCGCCACCGGGCCGACCCCTAAACTGTACCATTTTGAATGTGCAACAGTATAAAGAAGATACTAGAAATAACTTGACTAAGGATGCATGTGGGGAAATTATAAAATTTTATTGAAGACATTAAATAAGGCCTAAATAGAGAGGTGTGCCATGTTCACAGCTGGGAAAGTTAATATCGTGAAGGTGTGAAGATTCCCCAAGTTAATCTATATTTTAATGCAGTTCTGACAATACCGAACAGGGTTATTCATAGCACCTGACAAGCTGATTCTAACGTGTCTGTGGGATACAGAGGGAAGATGAGTAACCAAAACGGATGGTGAAGGACTCTCCCTCTCTGAGAGAGCAGGACCTTTAGTAACTCCATCTGGAGAGGAGGAAAGGGAAGGCAGCAGAGGGCAGCTGGTCCCGTGAGATGGGCTGCAGGGGTGTTGTTTCTGTCACCTCTTCTGCAGGTGTGCCACCGGGGAGGCCTGGCAGGACATCATGCTGGCCTGCATGCCAGGCAAGAAGTGTGCCCCAGAGTCCGAGCCCAGCAACAGCACGGAAGGCGAGACGCCCTGTGGCAGCAGCTTCGCTGTTTTCTACTTCATCAGCTTCTACATGCTCTGCGCCTTCCTGGTAAGCCGCCACCACGCGCCGCAGTGCAGGCCAGCCTGGGCCTCTGCAGCACAGGCGGGGCAGCCAGCATGGGGAGCCCGAGTTAGCAGGAATGTCCAGCCGCGCTGAGCTGAGGACAGAAAGCCCCAGGCCAGCATTTCTCTTGCCCCTTCTTGGCTCTTGTGGTGACGGCATTGTCCTAGAAGACAAAGGGGCTGTGTGAGGCCTAGAGGGAACTTATGCTTTTTTTCACCTCGCTGAGGAGTGAGGGAAAGGTGGCAGATAAAGTCTCCCTCTGTCCTTGGCAACTCTACCCAGCAGCTGCCCAGCCCACGGGTGGGTTCATCCCACACAGCTCCAGGAGACCCACATTCTGGGAACTGGTGTTCTAAATGGCAGCATGGTATTTAGAAGGGCTGGCTCTGCTGTGCATGGGCATTGGCTGGCCAGTGGAGTCAGGTGGCGAGGGTAGGAGCGTCATCTTGGAGCTCCTCATTGTAGTCACTGTTCTCTGCAGATCATCAACCTCTTTGTAGCTGTCATCATGGACAACTTTGACTACCTGACAAGGGACTGGTCAATCCTTGGTCCCCACCACCTGGATGAATTTAAAAGGATCTGGGCAGAGTATGACCCTGAAGCCAAGTAAGTTCCCAGAGGGGAATAGAAGGGATTGAGTGACCACACCCGTGGAAGAAGTTCAAGATGGGTCAGCACTGGTGAATCAATTGCAAACACTGAACTGCCCCAGACCCCAGGGGAAGGGCCAAGGGCCAGGCCTCTTTGACTAAGTCGAGAGCATATCTGTTATTTCCAGTTGGATGAAGGATAGGAGATCCTCGTGTCAGGAATAATTAGCAAGAGCCCAAGTTACGATATTTAGGGCCAGGTAGAGAAGACTCCATTCCTGCTCAGGTCTAAGGACACCCTCATTCATCAATCACATTTGATTAACACTCAGTAAATATCTTTTGGTCAGGTGGTTAGTTGATTGAAGCAGCAAGTACATACTGAGAATTTAATTGCACTGCTATAATCCTTTCCGCCTTGACCATAGCACTGACAAGAGTATATTGGTTTTGGAGTCCACCGTGCAGCTCCGATTCTGCATCGAGTCTGACCAACAGGGCTGCACTGTGCAGAGTCTCCCTGCAGGTGGCGCCTCTCAGACACGTGCGTCCTGGCTGCGGGCAGAGACCATGGCCCTCTGACTGTCCTTCCTTCTCCTTGTAGGGGTCGCATCAAACACCTAGACGTGGTGACCCTCCTCCGGCGGATTCAGCCACCCCTGGGTTTTGGGAAGCTGTGCCCTCACCGAGTGGCTTGCAAAGTAAGTGGTGACCTGGGTTCATGGGAGAAAGGGAAAAAATATGGGAGGCGAGAGGCCTGTTTGTCTGGTGGCCTTGGTCAGGCCGCTGATCCTTTAAGTGAATGCAGATAATATATCATGTGCCTACAGAAACGGGCCTGAGCCAGGTTATATTTGATCACATCTCCAGCTTTGAGTTCTCAGACTCTGTAAAGGAACACAGTCCTGGCGAGCCGCATGCCCGTCCTGAATAACAGGCCATTCAGCCATCGGGCTGCTCTGCCCAGGCATCCTGGGGGCTTCCGGCCGGGCAGAGGGCAGCAGAGAGACCAGGCAGTGGCTTCAGGGGTCCGCAAAGCCCTGAAACTGAATGCAGAATCACCAAAACACTCACAAATGTTGCCAGGGAGAGGATCCATCACTTCTGTCAGATGAGACAAATGCCTGGGTCCCAGCGCCCTCAGGCCTCGCTGTGGGCTGCCCAAGAGGGTCGTCTGCTTGCCCTCTCCTTTCAGCCCCTCCGCACCACGCCTGCTCCCTGTTGGGACAGTAATGAGCCGAAGCAGAGCTGCGGGCGGTAAGGCCAGAGCACGTGCGGAGAGGGACAAATGCAGAAAGAGCCCTCCTGGGGCAGTCCACTCAGGGAGGTGCAGAACCGCAGAACGCAGAGCCCTCCACTTGTGCCCACTTTATTCCGTGAAAGGTTTTGGGAGATCTCCAAGGGTATAGAAAATACGAGGAAAAGGGCACACATTAGATACGAGGTGACGGCTCAGTGGAGGACGAGGTGGGGGAAGAGTGCAGCTTGGCAGCAGAGATGTCCCTGTGACCTGAAGACAGGCCGGCATGGCCGCGCCTTAAGCTTTCCAGTTTGTGAGATTCACACTTCACAATTCACACTGTTCACGAGATTCAAAAAGATCCAGACACTCAGGAAAACTGTAACCATTCTTGGCACCAAGATGAACAGGAAGACTGTGTGGTCTTATGAGCGGCAGCCTTGGCCACACCTTAGAGCGGACGCTGCAGTGAGCTGCCACTGCGCTGTCTCTCACTGACCGGGCAGGCTGGCGCTGTGGAAGCCCGGCAAGGGTGGGAGGTGAGCGGGCTCCGGCCGGCTGGAAGTAGAGCGCATACAGCAGGAGCACGTACCGCTTCCCCTGCACCACACCTGCCCCTGCCAGCACACCCTGACCTGGGTTTTGCATAGGCGCTGCCTGGCAGGTGGGCGCTGGCAAACTCCTGGAGTGCAGCTGCTCTTTGCTGCCAGGAGAGAGCACACCCATATGCCTGAGCAGACCCTGTAGTGGAGGGAGGTTAGGTGGGCTTGCCATCCTTCTGTGGAGGTGGGATCTAGCGAAGACAAATCCCACCCCTCCCCCACTCTGTGGGGAGGGGGAAGGTACTTGTGGCAAAGCCAGGAATCTGCCCAGAAAGGGTCAGAGTGAACCCTGCTTCACACCCCGCCCGCTCCCAAAGTGGCTCCGCACAGGTGGCGAGACTCCCCCCAGCCGCACACTCCTGCTGTGGGGTCCTGCGGGTCCTGGAAAACCACCTTCTCTAACCACTGGCTCTGCCTCCCTCCCCCTGCAGCGCCTGGTCTCCATGAACATGCCTCTCAACAGTGATGGGACCGTCATGTTCAATGCCACCCTGTTTGCCCTAGTCCGGACAGCCCTGAGGATCAAAACAGAAGGTAAGGGTCACCCATGGGCGCTGGAAGAGCCACTCAGAAGGTCCAGAGCACAGCTAAGGAGGAGCTCAGCAGCCTGCAGTGCACCCGAGACCTTGCCGTCCCACAGTGTCAGAGCAGGGACACAGCCGTGACCTGCAGTCTGGGACGCTAAGGAGCCCAGCCTGCTCATGTGTCCCTTGCCTCTTGAATGGCCTCCTTGGCTCTAGTTTACTTAATTTCAACTGTCACTTTCCATCAAACCCTAGAAATTATTCTGGGTGATATCTTGCAGTCCTAGGGTATAGTTCAAAAACCAGAAGGTGAGCATTACCAGAAGCAGGACTAGGCCCCATCTAAACAGACTTTCCCTGGCTACAGGTGGGTCTCTCAAATGCTCAGCTCTCTTTGTAAATTAAAAAGATGTGTATTGGGGGGCCGGCCCGGTGGCGCACTGGATAAGTGCGCCGCTTGGGAAGCGCGGCGGTGCTCCCGCCCGAGGGTTCGGATCCCACATACAGACCGGTTCCCGCTCGCTGGCTGAGCGAGGCCCGGGAGCAACGCCGAGGGTTGCAGTCCCGTTGCCGGTCCCCGGTCCGGTGCGGGGGCAACACTGAGGGTTGCGATCCGTTGCCGGACACGGAAAAAGACAAAAGACAAAAGACAAAAAAAAAAAAAAAGATGTGTATTGGGAAGACTGTACTGGGAAGGGGACACATTGACAAAAGGTGACTATGGTGGAGGTCATCACATACAATTGTGCATGCCGCGCCTGGCACAGGAGCTCACCAGCCAACAGGTAAGGGTTAAGATCTCACCTGTGGGGGCCGGCCCGGTGGCGCACTGGATAGTGCGCCACTTGGGAAGCGCGGCGGCGCTCCTGCCCAAGGGTTCGGATCCCACATACCGACCGGTTCCCGCTCACTGGCCGTGCGAGGTCCGGGGGGAGCACCACGGCCTGCCGGCG